TTTTTTTTTTCTTATTCATGCATAGACCCCATTCGGGTAAAAGCCTCCCCCAAGAAATGCCATCCCTTTCTGTCCTTTGCTCTGTCTAGCCAACTTTCACCTGCACATGCAACAATTTCGTCTGCCCATCTGGCCCTTGGTCGACCTCTTGATCTGGTGCCTTTTGGCCCAGACCATTTCACTGCCCGTAAAGTCCATCTGTCGTCCTTGTAACGGGCCACGTGGCCAGCCCACTTCCATTTAGCCCTTATTGCAAATGTTAAGGCATCGCATACTTTAGTCCTTTTTCGAATGTCGACGCTCCTCACCTTATCCCTCAATTTTATTCCTATGCAGCTTCTTTCCATTCTTCTCTGGGTAGTTTGGATTTTCTTTCTGGTTTTGAGATCAAAGATCCAAGTTTGGCATCCATATGTTAGGCACGGCAGCAGTCCTGTATCCATGACTATTTTCTTGAACGGTAGCGATAGTTGCGATTTTAATATTTCCTTATGATGCCAGAACTTGTTCCAGGTAATCGCCACTCTTCGGTTTAGTTCTTCGGTGTTTCTTTCCTTACTAAAGGAGATTTGTTTTCCTAAGTATGTGTAGTGATTAACAAACTCGAGAGGAGTGTTATTTATTGAAATGGGCGTTGCACTGCGGTTAGACATAATTTTAGTTTTATCCAAATTCATTTCTAAACCAGTTTTTAGACTGACATGGTTCAACTCGTTTACCATTTTGTTTAGTTGATGGGGGGATTCCGAAAAAAGAATTATGTCGTCGGCAAATCTGAGGTGACTTAAAAATTTTCCATTTATATTAATACCTTTATTGCACCATGGCAACTCTCCCATTACGTGTTGCAAGACAGCTATGAATAATTTTGGTGAGATCGGGTCTCCTTGCCTGACACCTCTCTTTATGCTGATTATTTCGCCCACTCTATCCAATTTTACTCTACTCGAACGATTATAAACGCAAAATTATCTTGATCCGTTAATCAAAACTCGTCACAATTACTTAATTGATTGACATTGCAAAGATTTAGATTTTTGGGTTGATCAATTTGACAGTAATTAAAAAGGAAATCGCCGTCCCCGATACTAGTTAATAAATCAAGGACCGTCTTTATAATCGCAGCGGTTGTTTAATCACGCGCACGAATTCTTCATTTCAAATGTAATACGAAGAATGCCAGTAGAAAAGAATTTCAGTTAAATTGCCGACACAGTTTGCTCGAAGGATTAGTTACAACGTCGCGTGACTGACAGACCGCAGAGTTGCAACGACAAAACGCTGCCATGTCAGAAATATCTGGCATTGGACGCGGTCGTGATGCGAGCCTGCCGCACTAAACTGACTGGAAAATTCGCAAAACCAACGCGGTGCAATGAAAACAGCGTTTGTATGGCTTTTGTTTTAAAAAATAATTCTAGGAAATACATTCCGAGTTTAAAAAGTTAGTTCGCTCACTCCGTTTACTGTTGGCAAATCATGGTTAGCAACCAAAATTCTATTTTCAAATATCGAATGCTAGAGTTCGTCTGGTAACTATTTTGGTAGCCAAATGTTTCTTTTTTTTTTAGTTTGACCGAAACTGTCTGTTGTTGCATGCAAAAAGACTGGTTAACAAAGGATTTAAAACGACGCAGGTACTTTTTGGACTATGTGTGACTCAGTATGAACCCATCCCAATCTATCAGTGGTTGTGATTACGATTTCTGAATCATTTTCGAAGTAAAACGTTGCATAGTTATTTACTAAAGAAGCGACGACGTGCAAAAATGTCTATTAGAAGGATCATCTCTATTAATACGGTATAGAAGCGAGATATATTATTATGCCTGGAATCATAATTAGTTCAAGCTCCAGTAAGTAATCAGAAGGCAGTAAATTAACGTTCCGTGCTTTACATGTTTTTAGAACGAGCAAGATAAATCTGCACGAGCAGTTATTAAACTGATCGGCAGATAAAAATAATGAATTTAACTAGCCAGGTACAGTGCATTTTATTTATACAAATGAGCTATGAATCAGATTACTGTGGCAGTAGGAAACAGTTACATCAAGACTAAAATTATGTAAAAACTTTTTCATTGTCTTTGCTTCGATGACTTAGATAAATGAAGGAAAATATTTTGTTGAAAACTTCATCGTAAATTGCTCATTAAAAACCTTAATTGACTCGGAAACTTTCACGGTAACTTCTGCCAAAATAGACAACTTCTAAAACCAGTTTCAAATTAAAAATTACCGCTATATATACAAAAAGTTGTGATGGGTAGCCATATTCAGGAGTCGTAGAAAGAGGACATGTTACTTTTAACGGCTCTTAGTTAATGCTTATGGATTTTACAAACAAAAACAATGGATGAAACTGTGCTGTTTCAATGACGTGCGCGTGCGCGGCTAAGTACCGTTGTACGCGCGTAGTAACAATATGCTCCAATAGAACATTTATCTTATCGGTAACCTGCATATCTTACAATATCTAGGTTTCACCTGAATAAATACTGAACACCTATATTCAGAAGACTTGAATTTATAAAGTTAGACTGTCAAATATGGCCGTAAGTACTATCTGGTATTAAATTATAAACAATTATTAATTCATTGTAGGTAGTACTTACATTCAGGCAGTAGGTATAAACTAATATAACAAATAGCTAACCTATCATTACGTTATTGACACTGCAGGCGGTAGGTAACCTAGATAAAACAATTACGCATACAATTTGATAATAAACGTAGATGAAACGAAGCGTTTCTGATTAATGTAGCGAACGAATAACATTACTTCTTCACACATAGGTGATGAAGCCGTTAACTTTGAGATTCGCGAGAAAATTTCGACAGTCTGTTAACTCGAAGCGGCTCAATCAACAAATTGTAGGTCAGTGTTTTGTTACTGGTAGAAGTTGGAGGTCTTAATGAGTATTTATTGTTATCTTTTAAAACAATGCAACGTCGCAGTGACATTGGTTCGTATTTCACTGGTTACAGATCTTAACCGTGTTTTGGATGTATGCGGATGCGTGTTGACGTAAATAACCACAGTGTAACATCACATGGCGGGAGACCGACTTACTGAATGTATCGGGAAGTTTAAAAATAGAAGACGATCGGGTGAGCGACTCGAGACGCGGGCCACAGATAACGTTTATCGTCCGAAATGCTGCAAGCAAAAATAATAACGCATCATAATTATCAGTATTCCAGACGGATTTCCACGAACGCTTAATCCATTTAGGAATAATAAATGTACAGTCATATGCACACGGTTTTAACGAACCGTGTAATAATACCGTTATCGCGAGTGGTGTTACACTGGGTTGGTAAATAGGGGTGCGGGTGTGGCCAGCTGATCGGGATCGCACGCACACAGCTGCAAATGTTTACGAAAAATGTTACACAGACCGCTTATTGATTTTATCCGCCGTTGAATGTGCTTCAGAAACAGGTGTTCGCGTCCTGCGATTGTGTTTTATATGGTAATACAACAAACGACTTCCTAAACAAACCTAGCATTATGCATTTACCACTGTATAATAACTATTCATTTCGTTATTGATCGTAGGTATGTCCCATAGTCATGACATGTATCAGTTGGGATTAACGGGGTGAATGCTCGTCTCATGTCAGTGTTTTCCAATGTTTTGGACAAGAAATAATTTGTTTATAATGAGTTAATGACACGATATACAGTTACTTAGGTGCCTACCTTGATTCCAGAGCGTCCCTGCTGTTTGAGCAGCACGTTTTCCGGCTTCATGTCGCAATGTATGATCCGGTTCTTGTTGAGCGCGTGCAGGCACTGTAGCAGGCTGTGCGAGAACTTGCGGACGAGCTGCAACGAGAACCCTTGGAACTTGTTCTTCTTTATCAGCTCGTACAAGTTGATCGACAATAACTCAAATGTGATACATGTGTGGTTCCTGAACGTGAACGAGTCAAACATATGGATCACGTTCATCGTGTTGTCTTTGTCCTGCTCGCGGAGGTGCTCCAGGATACGGATCTCCTCCTGCGCCTGGCGGTGGAACCGCTTCTCGTTGCGCACCATCTTCAGTGCGACGTTCTCGCGCTTCTTGTGGTCGTACGCTTTGACCACCTGACCGAAGCTACCCTTGCCGATCACCTTGAGCACCTCGTATCTGTATGCTATGTGATCGTGCGGTATGTGGATGTATGAGCCTTGCTCGTTGTCGTAATCGCAATTGTTCGGAAACCCGACCAATCCGGGACGTTTCTTGGCGTTCGCGCCTATAAAGTACACTTGGGGGTAATCAAATATTTCACGGTGTTCATAGGGGGTGAGCTTGCTCATGTAGAGCTTCATGACCTGCTCAGGGCTCGCGGCCGCTGCTGGTGGCCGCTTGTCGGGCGGCTGCGCGTTGTTGGCCGGTGGTGCGGGCGGGCCCGGCTCGAGCGGCGGCAGCGCCCCGTCCCGGAGCAACGCGCGCCCGAACGCGTGCGCGCTCCCTAGAGGCATGTCGCCGGTCATGGCCGCGCGGCCGCCGCCACCTCCGCGCACCTCGCTCGCCGTGGCCGAGTCGACCCACGCGCGCTCGCACACACCACTGCACCTCACTGCACTTGCACTAGATGACGGCGCCACTCTGGCACACTGCACGACATTTCACATCGACCGGGAGGAGCGAGACCCACGCTTCCACTTATGCGGGCACATTCCGTCTCGGCAACGATACGATGGAGCCGCGTTCGCAGATGATACCGTGCGACGCGAACGTGAAACGCAAACAAAGACCCCTTCCTTGCGGGCCGACCCGACGACAAAACCAGAGAGAAAATAGAAACGGTCGCCTAAGTCATTGAACCGTTCGGTCGCATTGACTCCACGAGTGCAAGTGAGATAGAATGACTTTCAATAGTATACTTGTCTGCCGCTAGATGTCGTTTGCGAGCAGCACAGACTAAACAAAGAGTCATTATTGGAGACCCGATTTAATTGAAGAATGTAGTATTTTATTCAGGTCACAAAATAAGCTACAAAACGTACTTACGTACCATATTAATATGTACGAATAATAATATGATTAGATCTTACTAACAAGTGATTTTCACCATATCATTCATCATTCATGGATATGTAATACGAACTTACTTGTAATCATAATTAAAATAAATTGAATAATATGATTAGACTATTGCCTTTGTTTCAATATCTACCTACCTACATTTTTTTTATTTTGAATAAAATTATCAACAACAATTTCTATAGTTATCCTTTTCCTGCTGTGACTTTTAAGAAACTCTTCAAATGTTTTTTTGTACCTTACTCCTTTGTTTCCATCAAGATTTTTTAAATAAAGCAATAGATTTAGTCATTTACATATAATTGATAAATAACAGTTTAGTTATAAAATAGATACAGTTTCAGTCACAAAATAGTTTAACAATTAATGAATTCCCAATTCATGTCACATTATTGGTAGGTTTAATTCATAATTTAGTTCAAAACTTACCTTTACAAACAAAACATGGCAATGTTTTCTGGTTTCTGGGTCTTTCATCATACTTTGTCTTTGTCTATGGTTGAATCGAACGCGTCGCCATCTATCGAAAAAAAATAAAACCAGCCCATCCATCCAACCAAACCACACGTCTTTTTCTATTCCGTTGTTTTCTGTCATTTACTACAATCGCAATCAGAATTAATAGATACTGTGGTGTATATTTTATGAAGAAGACCGTACTTTAATATAAGTGTAACAAAGAAATGTAATTTAGACTCTAAAGAAGATCTTGGTGGTAACAAAATGTAAGTAAAGTGTTTCGATATTTGAACAATCATTTACTTATGTGCTGTGATTTCTTTTTTTGCTTTTATTAAATGATTAATTCTTCTTTACAACCTGCCGGAATATTTCAATTCAAATTATTACTCGTTGTAAAGTTAAAAGTCTGAAACATAAGTAATTGGAAAATGCCGACAGCCGATTCGCAATCTTTCTGATTCGATTTGAATTAGGTTTGAAATATAAAATGTTGCTATTTTTCGGGGCATGATTATGTTATAGATACTAAATGTATTATCATTAGTATGTGATATGAATAGTTTGAACACTGTATGCGTCACACAAACATGAACCTTTCAAGGTAATGTTAGGGCACTAGTATGGGCTGCTTATTGTGATATTGCATTATACTTCCTTGTTCGACGACTCGACGACTTACCCAAGGCCTGTGTATGTGTGCGTATCATTTGCGTGATGCTTGGACGGTTGCCAGTGCATCAAACAACTGCTGCACTTAAGTGTGGGGAAATGAGATAAAATACATAATCTTTTTATTCTTTGTTTTTTGTGCCCATTGGAGGTGAGTCAGTTGCTTATTCTGTATCAGGTGGTAAATGTATACATAAACTTTGAATAACAATGAACTGAATCATGGAATCAAATGCTGGCTAAGAACAAATGTTTTCATTGATAAATGATAATCTAACAGCAAGGAGGTTTCAACTAACTTGACATGTAAATATTTATGCGAATGTTACTTTATTCTAATTAGAGCTCTAATCTAACAAGGCTTCTTTAAAATTAATATTTAACAAGATGCTTTAATTACTTCCTTATTTAAATCTTGTGGATCATGACAGAAACTTGTACCATGGCCACATTTTGTAATAAGAATTATTCATTCTCCACCCTCTACATTGTTGCCGGCCAGACTCACAAAAAAAGTAACAAAACCTACAGCTAATTACAAACCTCCTTGTGACTTGAACTCTTTAAATGTTATGACTCATGGCGCTTATTATCTGTGGTATTCTAAGCATGTACTGGGTTCTTCTGTTTTGTTGATAACTTTATATTGTGCGTACTTAGTTTAGGACATGTTATTGTTATGACTAAATATTTATTTTAGCAAGTTGTGGACCAGACATAATAAGGAAGATATTTATTTAATTCATCATGTACACACAGTGCATAGGCATTTAAATCATTATCTATGTTTATACCTTTGAGTGGTTCATAGACAGGATGTTTAGTTACGATAATATACAAGTAACCTGTACCAGCGTTTCAAAAAAACATTTATTCACTACTAATAAACAGAAAAAACAACATTTACCAAATGTTTTAATGTAGTTTTTATGACATTAGGTACTTTAAAATTGAAGATTATCAAACAACTTACCGCTAGCCTTGAAATTGATTAAAAATGCGAAGAAATCATGACAAATCACATTATTGTGATATAACTAAGTATGTAATTTGAAAAGTTTCATTGAAATATTCTTTTCTGATTAGGTAATAAATAAAACTATGAGTAATGTTTACAAAGAAATAATTTGTCTGTCAGTCTAACACCCCATATGATTTCATAACAGAACAGGAGAAAAGTTGGTGTTAAAATGTAGATACACCTCTGCATAGCCCTTCATGAATTATAAGACTAGATGTTATGTTAATCTAATTTAATTCAACAATTGTATTTTCAGAATGAAATAAGAACAAATAATACCAGTACCTACATACATTATGTAATGTTTCTTTTCTTGCATAATCTTGAATTTACTTTTGTCTTATATTCTAAAGGTTACCAAGTATGAATCACTTAAACTCATAAACATAAAACCAGTTTTTTATAATGAATTCACAATTTCATCATGTTATCATCATTATCTCTTTGTGCTTGTAAAGGAGCCATTGTAATTGTCTAAACAGCCTTGACAAATAATATAAAAAGATTGTATGCTTTCTGAATTTGGAGTTTCTATGAATTCAGGTACTCGGTTAGTCAGTTTTGAAGGAACAATAAATAGTTATAAGATATACATTGTTCATTGTAGACCCAGGGCATGGATCCTTTAGCATTATCGAATTTGAATTTCATACATATAAAATACAGGCCAGCAAAGTGGTCCACTTCATTTATTTTCATAGTTACAGTTAAAAAACATCTTCAGTCTAACTTTTAGCTACGAATATTTATCTAAATTTACAATTTACAGGCAGAAAAATTGCGTAGGAAAAATGTCCCAGCAAAAATTTGGCTCACATCCATTTTGAATACCATGTTTCATTTCTATAATTTCTCTTGTTATAATGTTGGATGTTAGATGGTATGACGTAGGTATATAATAGATTTAATTAACTACTTCCCAGTGAGAATTGGTTTATGTAGTTGTTACAATTTTGTGTTGCTATATGCACAATGGACCACAGCCAATGTTGACGTCTATTGACACGACGAGACACGACCGACGCGACGACGTTGTGATGTACTTTGGCTGGTTACTTACTTTTATCCTAACTTTATTAGGTATCATGGTATCAGAAAGAAAGAAAGAGGAAGAAAAAACAGTTTATTTGCATCGTTACAATATACAACAACACGAATTACATGTATTGTATATTTGTCCCCTGAAAGTCTAGTAGTATATAAACTCAGCTAATGTGACTAATTTTTTGCAATAAAACCCGAATTTAAAAATTCTCAGTTGTAGCACGGAGTCCGGAATTGTGCCCGGTATTTGGCAATAGGCTCACCCCCTATTACATGTGACTCATAATATAAATAGTGAAAAGTGTGTGGCACATTGTACAGTGGCATTAAGTGTCATAATGTGCACCTCTGCCTCCCCATTCGAGGATTAAAGGTGTGATGATATGTGTAAGAGCCGAATCTATTGCAATGGTCTCACAGCAGATTCGACGAAACTGAGTTTCACGGCGTCTTTCAAATACTTAAAATCGTCTACATTCATCATAGTCAGATAGTTTTTGGATTCATACTACGAATATTCAGTAGTCTACAGGTCAACCATAGAAACATTGAGTTTATCGATTCAGAAATTCTCGGTATAGAATAACACGAAGTCTGCAAGTGAATATTTGCTCGTTTACACTGCAGTATGTTCACCCTGTGTCTATTGAATGCTAGGTACTAGTCAAATAAGCCTCTAGCCTCTACCGATTCTGAGAAACCAAGATGAATACAGTTATATTGTTTTCTAGCTTGAATAATACGTTGTCTACACAATAACTTATGAAATCAACTTTGAAATAGACCTTTGAGGTTAAAGGTTACGGTTAGGCGTAGCGTAGACGTACAGAAAGTACTTTAAACTTATGTATTTGTCTTTGGGTCGTACAAAGCACTAGTACAAATTGTTTTTGTCTGCTTACCAAACAGTATTAAGTATTTACGTCTATTTTAAGTTTGAAAGGACTAACTAGACTAAATGTATGCCTTATTTTTGATGGGGGAAAATCATTCAATGGCTTTCCCCGCCCGGGTGAGGCGAGAGGGAGTGTCAGACTCTTACTGACTAAAAACCACCCCGTTCATACTCCTGCACTTCGAGCCGGAGCCCCGGCAACCCGTTAAGTCTTCCGCGGCTCCACTAAACGTATACCTAGTTGTTCAATCGGCGTTTTGGCATTAAAATTAAATGTTTAAAAATATTGAAGGGTCAATTTTGGCGATATTTGTGAATAGCATAAAAAAGTGGTTGAAAGTCGCTCGATCCTCGATATCACGAAATTCCACTTTGGAAACGACAAAACGTGGATTTGATGGCTCCTCAATAGAACTAGTATATCTAGAAATACTAGAATAGTTGTATAAACTAGATAAATTCCAGTACGAGAGCTCTGCATTCGCAGCCATCAAATAGCTTACGAGTTGTGGTAGATACAGGCTAGCTATTAAAGCCAGACTTAAACCCTCCGCTAGTGCTTGCCACTGTGAGAATCCCTGGATTAAATAAATAGCCGCTGAATTGAAATAAACTTTACAAAATTCAGACTGAACAGTGTAAAAAGCGGATATTTATGATTCCTGATTTACACTTCCAAATACCTTAGATTTAAAAGTCTACTTTTTATTGTATTTTATTCTTTATACTAAGGAATTGTATCATTAAAAGGGCTGCACTGCACGTCCATTGTGCAAGCTATGCTTCGTTATCTTTCACTGTCTGACTCATTTATTATTATTGTTAAAATTCATATGTCTACGTGCTTATGTACTTACCCGTCGCACGTACTTAGAATCCGGCAATTTAACAGTATTGCAGCTTATTGTGGAGTCGGATAAGATAAGAATGGTCACCAATATGTATTCTGTACTTATGTATAGTACATAATTATCTAATTCGAATAAATGGAGCGATAAAAATTGATAACGAGTACAGACGACTAAATATGGCGTGGTATGAACTAGGTCAAGTCGTAAATTCAGTTCACATAAACTCTAGAAAGTGTTTTCATAAAAGCACTAAACCGATACTAGGTAATTTAAAAAAAATATAACTACCGGTCTATGTAGGTAGTTTGAATTTACTCAACTGTGCCGTGTTCATATAATTTTAGTGGAATTTTCAGTTAGGTACTGCAGTATATTTGCTAATTGCAGTACCTAAATGAGGAATATTAAAATACACATTTAATAAGAACACTAAAAGGAATAATAACCGAAACTGAAGGACTATTAGCATTATTGTACTGACAAGTTTGATCTATCACATAGTATTCAATTTTATCGTAATCAGTTCAGTAGTTATTGCGAGTCTGATTAACAAACAATTGCATTTTGATATTTTTCCGAGAATTAACCGTTTTTTTAAAACGCTCTTATAAAATGAATGAAAGAACAATAAAAATATTACGTACCCAACTAAAAATGTATTTTAATTAACGTCAATTCTTTTTATATCTTAAGTTGAGTACGCACGTGAATCGCGCTAGACGGATATTATAAAAATTATCGAAACATTTTATGATAAATGTGATCAAACATTTTCATTGTAAG